GAAAGTCAGGGAGTTGAGAAGGATGGACTAAAGACAGTCTGGGTTGGGTGCACAGGGGTATGGGCTCAGCCATGGCACTCAGTCTGGGGAGATGGGTGTCATACTTAAAGCTCCTTCCTGACTTTTTTTTTTCTTTTTAATTAATGCAAAGTCTGTTTAATCGAAAAAGCGTGTTTTGAAGAATTAAGAAATAGGCATGATGAATCACTCTAGCATTCTTTTCTAGAGTCACTGTGTCCAGTCATGCAGACTTAACAAAGAGGAATTTCCATATTGGTGTTTGTTGCAGCTTTGCCAGGCCTGGGAGGCCACAGAGTACTTCTTGCAGCCAAGTGCTCCACAGACATAGTACTGCCAGCAGATACAGCTCAGCTCTGACCACAGAGTGTAGCTACTTCTTCTGTTACCTGGAGTCTTGAATGGGAAAAGGCTGCATGGCACACATCTGACATCTTTTCTAATAGTTAGCTGCTGCTTAGACCTCATCCCTGAGCAGCTGTAGTTGAACTCAGCATTTCTCTTTTGAACATAACTAGTTTCATAAGTGATACCACTTGTGAAATTGTCTACACAAATCCACAACCATTCATCTTGTTAGAATAATTCTTCTCATATCCATTTCTCCTAGGGAATGAGCATTGCTATGAGATGATTAACTTTCAGCACTATTTTACTAGTACAAGGGTCATAGAAGTTTGATGTTGAGATGTCTACCCTTAGAGTTTGAGGTCTGGCCTTAGAAACATGGTCTTAGAAGCTGAACATTCGTCCTCCTTGGGGGCTCCACAACATGGAGTGTTTCATAACCAAGTAGAGAGCCGTTGTCTCCATCCCCTCCTTTCTCCAACTCTGCCTACTCTTCCCAGCTGCTTCTTGGACCCACTTCCAGTTACCCACATAGTAGCAAGTAGCAAACCCTGTTACCTATTCTGAAACCTGGGGACAGAGGAAGTGATCTGTTTCTGTATCCTCTTGTCCTTTAAACAGAGCCCCTGACTCAAGAAGCTGCAAGGTAATGGAAGTCTGCCACAAAAAACCCTGCACCAAATTAAGAAAGCCTGTATTCAGGTAACAAGGAAGAAGCCTTCAGAAGTTACTACAGGTTATTGTTCATCTGACTGTCTGGGAGAAGTCACTCTTTGCTACAATGCATGTCCACTTTTTCCAACTGTATCTGCTGGTCTAATGCGTGATACTACAATAATTTCTCTAAGGTTTGGTTCCTAATGCTCAGTGTTTAAAATCAAATAGCATTCGTTCCTTGTTTGTTGCCTTGTGTCTTTTTAATGTATGACTGATGATCAGGCTTTTAAACATGATCACTTCCAGGGTTGCATTTGAACACAGTTCTCATTTAGTTTGCAAGCATGCGTACTTAATTAAAGCCTACTTACTACAGGTGGTTTTGGTGGCAGATATGCTGGGCTCTTCATGGGACTACACAAAGCTTTTTGTGATGTGCAAATCTGGAATTAGCCCTGGAATTACCAAGTGCCTTGAGCTGCACGAACAGGTGAAAGGAGCCTTTTCCCCTGTTAGAAGCAGTTCTCGGTAGAGGGCGTTTGTGAGATGCATGGATTTCCTCATTCCTACACAGACTGGTGTTGCATCCCTACGTTTGGGAATTACTGATGAAGCAGATTTGCCTCCCACGTTTGCAAGTTCTTGCAGCCCCTGCTCAGCGGTGTTGCACTCCCGGATAGGCTCTGCCTGCACTGGCTGATTTCAGCCTATGCACAGCTTCTTTCCCACTAAGGAGACTTCCCTGTGGCACTCTCTCTCTCCTTTGCTCTTGTGCTGAGTACCGTGTCACAGCTGCACGGTCACGTTGTCTCTGGACTGTAATCTGAAGTAACATCCAAAGAGTCAGATGGATTCTTTTGTTTGAAAAGAGGATGATGAACAGTTTGTGTGCGGGGATCTGAATTCCGGCTGGTTTGTGTCAGGGTCTGTGGATCTTTTCCCTCTCCTTTTTGCCTCTGCAAGAAATTGTATTTGTGCTGTTTGAGTATATTCCCTTGCCTTTACACAGACATCTGTTGAATGACAGTAGAAGCGTAACCTACCTTTCTGCGTCCCTTGAGCTGGAGACACTCACGGTCACCAAAGCTTATTTCCTTGCTGTTCAGAGTTCTGAAATTATATTAAATTAAGTAATGACAAAAATCAGGAATATAAATTTCCACCGAATGCGTTCCTAATTCCTCAACCTTAGGAATTCCATCCTTTGGACTAAAGGACAGGTAAAAATCATTAGGATAGAAGAAATTCTCCTGAAGGGCAGCTGTAGGAGTGGTGGTGGTGTGCAACAAAAAGCAAGGGGTCTCACCTCTCTCCACACAAACTGCGAGAAGTTTGTGCCAATAGAAGCTTTTGAAGTGTTGTGTTGATATTCACGCAAAAAAACTCAGCTTCTTGATATCTCAGGCAAATCAATGTTAAAGACGTGCTGACTTTTAAACTATTCTCTCAATGGGAATCATATTGATTGTTCACATATAAGCCCATTTTCAAATATATTAGTGAAAGGACCATACTCTGAGGTCACAGTGTTGAAGACACATGTTGCATCCAACCAATGGGAACCAAAAGGACTGATTTGGACCACTCGCAGAAATCTGGATATTGATGGTCTCAGAAAAGTTTGTGTACACTCAGCAAAGTAGAGGGTACCAGCAGCTGTGATAAATACCCAAGCTGACAGTAAGGCTGCCTCAGAGGGAGTGCAGGTGAATTTAACACTGTGCAGAGGAAGCCTGATCTGTAACAAGAAACACTTACAGAGGAGCTCTGTGACAATTCCTGTCGGCTGCCTAGTGGTAAAGGTGAGGTCTCTAGCCTGACCATTTCTGAGGACTAGCACTGGCTGGGTTTTCTAATAAACTGATTGGCATTATATGAATCAGTCATTTGCACGACTGTAACACATTTATATATTCAGGGAGGTGAGAAGGGTCACAAAGATCCATCAATAGATACAGAGAGGTGTAACTTTTAAGAAGCAGGAATACTTTTTGATTGATAATCTTAGTAAAAGGTTATTTAAGATAAATCACTGAAGAAGGCATCAGACATCATTAAATTTAATTCCTACACTGGACAGCATGCCATGGACAGGCTATCTTATTACTGCACACGTGACATGCTTTGCTTCTGGTATTTCAGTGGTCAAACTTTCTCCCACTTCAGCAAGTCCTCCGTGCATTCATTTGCTTTCTCCATACACCCACAGGGCTTCGAGAGATCTGTTTTAATAATATGAACAAGCAAGTTCACTGCAAGCTCATACATCCTTTTGAGAAGAGGAAGGGAAAGAATCAGTCTGCAGAGAGCTTTACTGGCAAATGCTGTTATTCCTCTGCCTTAGCTCTTTATCTCAAAAGCTTCAGTCCAGCAGGCCTGCCCCCCTTTCAGCATATTTGCACTGCTACCTGCGTTCATGGCTTCTGCTGGAAGCAGATGGAGCTGTTTGGAAAGCCTGTACAAGTGCAGACACTAGGAAGTAAAAGATACCTCACTGAAAACCAAGAAACTCTAGGGACAAACGCTACACTTCGAAGAGGCAAACAATGTTTACTCTCCACTGTGTTACACCATTTGCAGATAAGTCATGGATAAAACACATCACTGTCCCCATTTCCATAGTCGAGACAGTTGTGTTACAAATCAAACCCTAAAACTTTAAAGACAGCTGATGTCTTGGAGTAGAGCCTATTCAGAACCTACAGCTGGGTGGCGGGAATCAAATTTCTTCATCTCCAAGCCCCTCGCTCCCCGTCACCCTGTGTTCCACAGCGCCGTGGTTTCACCTGGCTGGGATGCTGGAAGTCGTGTTTCCCGGAGGGGATCCCGCTTTCCGCCCGGCGTGGCGGTCCCCTCTCTGGCCGGCCGGGCAGCGCCTCTCGGGGGGCTGCTTGCGGAGGGCAGCGGCGGG